GTTTATTTTTTTAAAGAAAAAACTTAGGTGAGTATCTGGATTCGTCTCACATTAGGTTCTCGTTTAGTTAGGATGGAAAACTAATTTACATGAATATATTAGTTCTCAAACGGGGTGCCTCAAAGAATTATTTAAAAATGTAGATGCACAGGCTTCATTGCGAGCCTGCTAAGTCAGAAGAGGCAGCGCGTATTATTTCTCCTCAGGGAGAGCCCCTCACTACATTTCCCCAAATGCACAAATCTCTAAGACCGTTGAGCATCCAGCTTTCCCAGTTTAAATGACGGCAATGCCCTTCTGTTTGTGCCTCAGCAGAAAACTATGTTATTTTTGCAACACCAAACTGTAGATGTTCGATTGCCATGAAAACAAAAAAAGTTTTGCCTATAGACATGCAAATTCTATCCTGTCTGGTAACGGTTCAACTGATTTTCCTTTCCCTCATGACAAGCAATCAATTTTGCCTCCTTCACACACTCATTTCATTATTCCCGACCTATCCTGGGTGTGTTCTTCAGATTTTCTTCTGAAACTGTTGTAACAGCTGCCTGAGTCCCTCAGTGATTACTGAGTTAAATAAGATGTTTAGCATGTGTCCACTTTATATGTGAATGAGAGTTGTGATCTTACCTAATTTCAGGAAATTTCTCTTGAACACACCAATGGCGAGTACTTTCCTCTTCCATTCTTTGGCCATTGGCTGCTGGTGCTCTTTATTTTGGCTGAACATTCAGGGGTTTCATCAGAAAAGAGCTCCTGCCCTTGTAACCTTTCACCATATGCATAACGTCTGTCCAAGGGTTCCTGGAAGAAGGTGGAATAACCAGAAGATTATACTTCCAACTAAGGCAAAGGAGAGGTCAGAGCATTGGTTCCTAATCTTTTCTATAAAAATGAAAAGAACATACATTAGACTAAAATTAAATAAGCCCATCAAATTTTCACTGGGCTCTAACTTAGCTACCTTACTTACTCCTTCCTTACTTACGTAGTTGATTGATTGAGCAGAAATTACACATAGTTGGAAACTTTTCTTTTTAATGCCCCTTATGCCATCTTGTATCTTATGCAAGATATGGAAGATATAAGGTCCCTGTCATCTTTCTCAGAACACAGATTCACCAACAAGAACTAATGTTATTTATCCAACAATTAGTTATTAAGCACCTTCTAAATGCCATGCCATTATATTGTCAAAAACATCATTCCAGGCAGTCGACAGCCTAGAGAGAGACCGACAATAAAAATCAATACAAATAAATGTAAATTTTTCAAATATTGGGACCAATACATAAACTGCATGTTTTGAACCAAAACTGCAATACATTTTGCAATTCAAAAAATTTCCCTACTCAGAAAAAGGAGAGGCCAAGGTGAGCTCGAGTCATGGAAGGTACTATCTTTTGCTGAGTAACTAATCCAATCCCCTGCTCCCCGGCCAACTTAGAGGCATAAGAGAACCATTTACTATGCTCATGGATTCTGTGGGTCGGGAATTTGGAAAGGCCCAGTGGAGATGGTTTATCTCTCCTTCATAAGAGTAAGAACTGAGCAGGAAGATCCAAAGGCTGGAGGTGATTCGAAGGCTAGGGTTGGAATCACGAACATGCATTCACCAGCCTTTGGCAGGTGACATGGGCTGTCAGCTGGGACTGCAGCTGGTGCTAACAGCCAGAATACCCACACATGGCTTGCTCATGTAGCCTGGGATTGCTCACATTACTGTGACTGCAGTCCAAGAGGGAGCATTCTCAGAGAACCAGGGGAAAGCTGCATGGCCTTCTATGACAGGCCCTAGAAGCCATTTTGTCCCTTTCACCACATTTTGTTCAGGGCTAGCTTCAAAGGATGTGACCTGTGCAGTCACCCAGGACCCCTCGCTTAGAACATCCTATACTTGGTTTAATACTCTGCTGTCACCGTCTTGAAATTCCTAATAATATTTACACAAAGGGCCCCACATTTTTATTTTGCACTGGGCCCTACAAATTATGTAGCCAGCCCTGAATCTCTTCATCCAGACAATTGCAAAGGACTGCCCACGCTCCCAGTGTGGGGATAAAGACTCTCCGTCTTAAAGGGGCAGTAGGAAGGTTCTGGAAGAGTATGTAGGACTGGAAATATTGTTGTGACCTGTTTTAGAAAAGGCAATCTTCCCTAGACAGTTTGTGGCGAAGTTAAGTCATCACTTGGATTTTGGAAAGACTTTCCTCCAGAACCTCCCACAAAAATATATCCAGGTCCCCCTTGTTCCACATGGCATCCCAAAGGGAGTAAAAAAGCAATATGTATCTGTCAATCCTTCCATTCAGCAAATCCTGACTGAGCACAGAATGGGGAACATTTACAGATGACTCTCAGACACCCAGCCTGGGTGGACTTGGTGTTCAGAGTGATGGAGTCTGTGAAGGGAGAAGAGAAAGCAAAGGGCAAACTACTGTTAAAAAAAAGAGAAAACACTGACCCTCAGCCCTGGGTCCAGGGTCAAACGTGCTTTTGACAGGAAGCTACACCCTGGGTGTCCCGCAGAGTCCTGCTCAGGGGGACAGCAGACTGGAAGACCACTGATCTGAGTCGGGGCAGGCCAGTGTCGCATAAACAATGAATCTTGGAACACTGAAAAAATTAAATTAAATTAAAAAAGAGAAAACAATGTGGTGCCTTGGGGGCATCTGCCTTCGGTTAAGCATCTGCCTTCAGCTCAGGTTATGATCCCAGGGTTCTGGGATCAAGCCTCATGTCTTGCTCCCTGGTCAGTGGGGAACCTGCTTCTCCCTCTCCCTCTGTGGCTCCCCCTGCTTGTGTGTGTTCTCTCTCTGTCAAAAAAATAAATAAAATCTTTAAAAAAGAAAAGCCCCAAATGGAGTCATTTGCACCCTTTAACAGCAAACCAGTAAGCAGTGGATCGAGATAAAGATGCCAAACAAAACAAAAACAAGGGAAATAAAAAGGCAAGGTGGTAAGGGTTTTGGTTTATTCAAAAAAGGGGTTCCAGGAGCCCAGAGGGAAGGCCTGAGAGAAGCAGCACTTTGCCATCTCACTAACCATCCCATGTCTGCCTGTTCACCAGGCTTCCTGGAAGGCCACAGCTGTCCCAGGCTCAGAACACGGTGCAAGGCCGGAGGATTTGGCCCTCGGCGTTTCTGCAGGATGATGTCTGGCAGCTAGGCCTGTTGACTCCCCACTACCGGCTTTCCTCCTACCCCAGTCACCACTTCTCAATCCCTTTTAGGATTAGCTCTAAAGGTTAGATTTCCCTGGGGCTCAGCCCAAGGTTCTCCTGGCATTTAAACTTCTCCCTCTTTAGGTAACTGCCTTTATTCCCACAGAGTATCTCTGCCCCCTCTTCCTCCAGACTCATTCATCTATCCCTTTGCAACTGGACGTCTACACTTGGATGAATCATTGCCACCTCAAACGGAGCATGTCTAAAATGGAACTCTCTACTTTGCCCCACACCCCGTTCCCTCCAGTCTTCCCATTTCAGTAAGCACTTGCCTCCACCACCCTCACCCCCCACATCCAATCCATCCTTTAAGTTCTTCCTCCAAACCACAACCTGGATCCACCTACTTGTCACCAGCAACTGAGCCACTAGCTCCCCTCACTCAGGTTGCTTTGGCAACTTCTTAATTTATCTCTTGCCTCTCCTCTTGGCTCCTGGTCCTCCACCCTCTACAAAAAAGCCAAGCAGTGATCTTTTCAAACCATGTATCAAGGGTGCCTGGGCCTCCCTGTGGTTAAGTGTCTGACTCTGATTTTGGCTCAGGTCATGAGATCAAGCCCCTTCAGACTCTATGCTGGCTGTGGAGCCTGCTTCAGATTCTCTCTCTCCCTCTGCCCCTTCCCCTCGCCCCTCTCTCTCTCTTTAAAAAAAAAAAAAAAAAAAAAAGGAATAGTAACAATAATAAAAACCTAAATCAGAGCAAGTCACTTTCTTGCTCAAACTGTTCAATGCTTTCCCATTACTTTCAGAATGAAAACAACCCCTCACTGTGGAGACCCTACAACACCGGGCTGCTCCGCCTCTCAGCCTCATCCCACATCCCCACTCTGTATTATTACCTAGCTTCTCTTTCTGGCACATTCTTTTCAGCTATTCCCAAAGCTGCCTTCCGGGACTCAACTCAGAGGTCCCTTTTGAGGTCTAAGGAAAGAAACCTGCCTTCCTCATTAAATTTTAGACATTGTCTCTTTCTTCGTTTAGTGCCCTTTCTCTCTTTTCCCACACGTGCTAGAAGGGAAGCGCCACGCAATGGGAGTTCGCCACTGTGTCTCCACGGCCTGCCAGGGTAGCTGCTCACGTGTATTTCTCTAAAGGATTAACAGACGGCAGTTTTTATGTTTTTAAACATCTGTACTTGACAAAGGAAAAGTTGACTATTCTGTGCGGTTACTTTAAAAAACGTTTATAAATCCGAGACTGTTGCAGTAGATGAACTGGCCTCAAGCCCCCCTGAACAACACAGTTTTAAGGATAGCGGGAGACGGAGGAAGCGAGAGAGGGCAAGTGCAGGGGGAGACGGCTGGGTGGCTGGAGGGGCAGGAACCATGGGCGAGTGACTAGATGGGCACGCGACGGGAATGCGCACCCAAGGGGCTGAGGAAGTCCAGAGCTCGCTTCCCTATGCCACCCACCTTCCGGGGTCACGGAAAGGACGCGTCAGGGAAGACTAGGCGCGGCGGGCGCAGGGGTATCCGCTGAGCGGGGCGCAGAGCAGCGAGCCACCCTCTTCCCCGGCCCTCAGCCTCGCACACGCTCCCCGCGCGCCTGCACGCCAGCCACGCACAGCCGCGCCCCCTACCGGCGCGCGCGCTCAAGTGAGCGCCCTCCGAGCCCGCCGCGCGGCTAGTGCGCGTGCGTGCAGGTGAGCGTCCCGCCCCGCTCCCGCTCCTTTTCCCGCCTCCGCCCCCGCCCCGGTGCTTGGCCACCTGCCCGTGAAACTGGTGGTGGATTGTTGCCCTCGAGTCGCTCCGGGGCGGGGACACGGAAACTGGCCATGGAAGGTACGTCGGGGACTCGGGAGCCCCGGGCCCGGCCAAGAGAGCGGGACCCAGACCGGCACCTCCGCCCGGACCGAGACCGCCACCCCGAGCGACACCGGGACCGACCCGGGGACCGGCGGAGGGAGAGAAACGGGGGCGAGCGGAGGGACGGGGACCGGGACAGGGGGAGGCACCGAGACCCTCGCCAGGACAGACACCGGGTCGGGGACCTTCGCGCCGGTGAACAAAGAGTCTGGGAAAAATCCCATCAAAGTCGGACGCGGGACAGACCCCGGAGGCCGACCTGGGACGCAGCCCCGCCCCCCTGGCCCGCACCTTGGGAAACCCCGGAGCTACCGCCCCAGAGGAAGGAGCGCTTCGGAGCCAGTGGCCCGGCAAGGTGAGGTGGGGCTGCGGGGCGCCCTGCGACTTGGGGACCCGGGGTCTGAGACACTCCCCCCTCTCCCCCGCTGCGGTGCTCCAGCGCCCGACTCCATGGTCTAGGAAGGCGGCTTCAAGGAAGAACGTGCCATTCCCCCTTTTGTGGTCTTAGAGGACACCTGGGAGGGAAGGAAAACCTTACGGTGCCCCACTTCTTGATCTGAACCCGATTAACAAAGCAGAAACCACCCCTGTTGGCAGTGGCAGGGCCGGGGACCAGATGAGGAGGAAGAGAAAACTTCAGGAGCGGAAAGGGAAGGAGTGGGAAGGAGGGTAGGTAGGTGGGGTTAACCTGAGGCTCCTTCCTGACCTCACCCCACCCTACCGAGACGTGCCCACAGGACCGTCCCGTGGGGCTTCGGACCCTTGTCCTGTGTTCCAAAACCAGCCTTCCAAAGTCCCGTCAGGGTCTGATAAGGTCAGCCCAGTGAAGGGTTAATAGTTAAATCTGTAACCCCTTGTAGGGGTATATGCATTTCAAAACAGACTGCTGGGAGAAGCTACTCTTAAACCCAAAGAACTGAATCTACCTAAAACTCCCCCACTGAAGGGCAGAGATTGCCCAACGTTGTCAGTGAAGTCTTCTGAACAGCCTCCTGCAAATTCCGACTGTTTCAGATCCCACCTCCCTGAATGAACAAACTGGTGTGTCCCTGCCTTTTAGAGCACAGACGATTCTGGTAAGGTCTTGTGAGGTGAAAGCCTCATGCTGTCCTGGAAGACTTAGGGAGCTGGGAAAGGGAGTGGAAGGGAGGAGAGGAGGAAGTCAGCTCTAGACTCCACACCCCTATCAGGAGTTGGGTCTTTTTTCCATCGAACATTCCATCCAGCTCCACAGATATTGCTGAATTCCCAGGTTATGTGCCAGGCCAACAAGGAGACAAGTAGGTACTGGAGTGACGACTGCCTTCTGGTTTTGGACACCTGCTCTTTTCTCTAAGGTAGAGTCAAGCTCCTCTCTGCTGTAGGATTTGAAGGTTTAAACTCAGTTCCCTTCCCAGTTGTGTCCACAAAGCGGGAAAGCTGTTATCCTGAGCTTATGTTACATTATCTAAAACCAACTAGCCAAACTCTGACAAAGGTTATACCCAGATACAGTCTGAGGCACGAGCTGTTGTGCGTTCCTGACCAAAACCACATTGATTTGGTAGCTCCCGAGCTTCATTTTGGGTTTCTTTTTAAATCAGTATCCTTGTCCCTCACCACGACCCCCTGCCCCCCGCCCCCACACCCAAGGTGAGTGAAGGGATTACTTTTGCTTTTTTGGCTCATAGCCAGTTGGTGGTTTGAAACCAAAAGACAATTTATTTCCGCCTTTCTTCCACACAATAAACTTTGATTTAATGGGCAGGGTGGAGGGGCCAGGGCTCCATTACTTAATGGGTGAGATATACTGACAGTGTCCACAGTCTGGTAGGAGACTGACCGGTAAATCTGCCACTGCAGGGGAAACAGATTTGGAGAGAACAGATCCCCTGCCTGAGATCTGGAAGGTTTCCTGGAGGACATTGACCTCGAAGCTGAGTACTGGAAAAGGAGCAAGAATGAGGGGACTTGGGTGGCTCAGTAGTTAAGGTTAAGCATCTGCCTTGGCTCAGGTCGTGATCCCAGGATCCTGGGCAGCCTGCTTCTCCCTCTTCCTCTGCCCCTCCCCCGCTAGTGTTCTTTTTCAAATAAATAAATAAAATCGAGAAAAGAAGAAAGAGAAGGAGCAAGAATGGTAAGACTGGGAGAGGAAATGAAAGGGGTTCCAAGCAGAGAAATAGCTTCCACAGTGACCTACAGAACGGGAGTGCAGGTCATCTTTTTGGGGGCAAGGGGAGAGGAGCAGTTCACTATGGTTGGGTCTTTGAGTGTGATGTTGTGAAGAGAGATGAGCAGGGCCTTGTGTGCTGTGCTGAAAGTTTGGACTTTACCCAAAGCCATGAGAGTTTAAGGATTTCAAACCCCAGAGATCCATAATGAGAACACTGGAAGGATCCCTGGCGCCCAGCAGGTAGAAAGCTCAGGATATGCTGGATAAAGCGGGGGAAGGAAGAAAAGTTCCAAAACTAGCAGAGGAAAAGGGAGAGACAGGAAGACACACAAAGTTATCTGTATTACCCATATGCCTAGAGAATTATTGTGGATTCAGCCCTTTGCAAAGTAACAAGAGAAGGAAGAGAATGCCAGCCTGGGCATCAGAGTCTTGTGAACGTAAATTAGCTTTAAAGAAGGCCTGGTCCATGCTGAAATGGAAAGTTAGGCTCACAAAGGTGGCTCCCAGCTACCTGGTTAGATAGCTTCAGCAGGTGGGCAAACCAGCATCCAATCAGTGCTCAGAATTATAGGGATGTGTGGCATGGTGGCTTAGCAGTGTTGGGCCAAGTGTTTGGATACCCTGTGGGGCCCCTAAACCAGAGAATTCTCTGGAATATGAAATGGTGCAGCAAAATCTGTTTCTGTTCTGCACATCTCTTTAATGTCTCTTTAATGCCAGCCTGAGATGTTCAGGGTTCTAATATTGAACAAGCTGTTGATTTTGAAACCCCTAATGGCCACGTATGTTTTCAGTTACAGTGAACCCACTGCAGGGAGATACCTGCCCTCGAACCCCAGGTCTGGACTAGAGGAAGTGGAATATTACCAGTCAGAGGCTGAAGGACTCCTGGAATGCCATAAATGCAAATACTTGTGCACTGGGAGAGGTAAGCCATTTGGGAGGCATTGTGACCGTTTACTGTTTGCTGATGGTTCTGGAAGGGGTCTGAGCTGATGAAGTGAAAATTCAAGCAGACTTCCCTTTTGGGTTCCTAACATTTTCATTTATACAACTGCATGAGGTTCTCATTCCCCCAGCCCTCCAAAAAAGTAGGTACATCTGAAAAGTATAGCGAGATTTCCAGTGCTTCTCTTCAAATGCCTGGCAGTCAGACGAGCAGCCATGCTTGCGGGTGGCAGGTGGAACCGCAGGGAGAACCAGCTGTGAGCTGCCCGCCGTGGGAGGGCTGGGTTAGAGACAGAAAGCCACCTGGAGGGGGCAGCCTGGTAGCAGTTCATGCCACAGGATGTCTTTTAAAATTTGTTGTCTGAGATCCATAGGAAGAAATAGATCTTCCTTGAAGGCCCAGGCTCACACACATACACGCACGTCGTGAAACAGTACTTACCTTATTAGATATCAGCTATGTGAGTAATTTCTGTTCTACCCTGTTTTACTGAGAACAAACAGGGGAAAAAAAATAGTTATAGAACATGCAGTTTGCAGAATATGTGAATAATATGTGTCTGCTCCAAGTGTGGTGCCCCGAGTTCCCATCCAAGCATTCGTCCTGGCCTTGCCAGTAATGAAGAAAATCTGGTTTGCCACGGTGAGCCCTTGTAGCTCACGTGATTTGGTGAGAAATTCTTCTAGGCTGCCTATGACTAAGGGGGAAAACTTCTCAGCCTAAGGGAGAGAAATCAAGGAACTTGTACCTGAAAGTGTATCATAGGATGATTCCAATAATGTACATGATTATGGGGTTCTCTGGAACTTCCGTTAAAGAGCTCTAGGCAATCCAGGTATAAGAATCGACACTCTGGTTTACATGTATTGGCACAACCTCGTTGCTTCTAATTTGCTCAATAATTCCTGAGACTCAGAGAGGTATAGTAAGAGAACAAAGCCACACAGCTGTTACGTGAAAGACTTGCAGTGGAAACTCAGAGCCTAACTCTAAGGCCTGAAATGGTTTACTTGCTTGACCTTTCTTTTCCTTTTTTTTTTTTCCCCTTGATGATAAAAATAATGGGAATAAGCCAGAGGCTGCGTTAACAGGTTTCTCAGTAGAAGTATGTTTTCCTCTGTGATTATTTTACCAAGAGGAGAGGGCAGGACTTGGGCCTCCTGACCAAAACACACCTTGATTTAGCTTTGTCTGCTTCCGGCTGTCTGGCTTTGGACCTAGAGATCGTTTCTGAATCAAGACAGTGGAAGGCTGGTTTAGAAGTCAGAACCCTGGAGGGCCTATAAAGATCTCTGGATATGCAGAGGCCCACATCAGTACATAATTCTTGGTGTTGTGTCGAGAGAAACAGCCATTGAACACCAGGAACTTGTCTCCAGCAGGCAGTGCAGGCCTGGATAAAGGTCACCCGAAGATTTCCACCCCTATCTTAAGAGTAGGTCTTTTGTGACTGCTTTTCCTTATCAGTGAACTCATCTCCTCCCTCAGCAAACTGGTGGAAGTGGGAGGCTGCTCTGGCCCTCTCTGACTTCCTAGGGAGACCCCGAAGTCATGCTTTGCTAGTTCAGTGGGACAGTCAGGACACTGATGGAAAGAGATGGATCTCACATTCACTTATGAGCAAGTCCCCTCAGATACTAAAATCTTTAGGGGCTGAGGCTTAAGATCAGATAAAGAGCAAGTTCAGCTGTCCCCGTGTGTGTCAGATCACCAGGGGATCCTATGCACGTACAGGTTGTGCTCATTTATTATTTGGAGGGACGGCTGAGAAGTTGCAAGTTCCCTGGGAAGAACGTGTATTTCCTGCTCCCTCTTTGGCTCCCTGATTTGTTTGGAGCAGTTTCTTTTTTTCCTTTGTTCTTTCTCTCTCCCCTTCGACTGGCAATGTTCACATCACGATGTTTGCGTTCAGCTTGTAGTCTGAATTACACGTCTCCCCCAGCCCTGCTTATTCTTTCCGGGTTCTGTTAAAACTACAACAGGAACAAGGGATTGCAGGGGCTCTGCCCTCCCCATACAGCAAAACATTGGAAAACCCTAATTGTCCTTTACACTGGAGTTTTTTAAACTCATTGTGGTATTCTATACACCTTCTAAAAATACGAAGTAGATTTATATTTGCTGAGATAGAAAAAAAATGTTCCTCCTATATTCTTAAGTGAAAAAATAGGTTATATAATAGGGGCTAGAGTAGGACCCTGTTCTTCACCTAAAAGCAAATAACAGAAAAAAATGATAAACTATGATAAAAGTCCAGAAGAAAAAATAATGGTATTTTTAAATAGTTGGATTTTAGGTAATTGTGACATTAAATGTTTTTGTCTTTATTTTTTCCTATCAGTATATAGTATTTTTATAATTAAAGACAATAATAAGGCTGTCTGCATCTTGGAGGAAAGTGAAGAGAGTAAAGACAATACTTGATAGTCTGTCATTCCCATTGGAGAGTGTGTAGATAGATGTACCATGACTTCATACATTAACCAGCTGGACCCAGGCACAAAATCCCGTTCTCTAAACACCCACCAGGGAGCTGCTGACCGTCTGCTCGTAGTCAACTGACCTACCAGGACTGTGCCAGCATATACAATTTCCAGCTCAGAGCACCTAGCTTTATAGAATCCTGAGGAAAAAGAAGCCACACACAAAAGAGTACATAACTGTATGATTCCATTTACATGAAATTCTAGAAAGGCTAACCTCGTTCCTAATGGCAGAAAGCAGACCAGTGATTGTCTGAGGAGGAGGGTGAGGCATTGACCACAAGCAGTCTCTTGGGGGAACTTTCTGGGCAGATGAAGATATTCTGTATCTTGCTTCGGAAGACCTGGCATTTGTGTTTGTCAAAACTCAACAAGCTGTACACTTAACGTGGGTCATCTTGTTCCGTATCCGTTATATCTCAATGAAGTTGATTTTAAGGAAAGCAGCCAGTTTGGGCAGAAAAGCTGGAGCTCTTTCCTTGTCCAAGACAGAGAAGCCAAGGGTTCCCCAGAGAACCTAGCCCTGCGAATAGAATCACAGCCCAGATTTGCTCTTGAGGGAAACCAAAGAAAAAGTTAAATTGTAAAACAGACTTACTAGTTGAAATCTAAGAACAAGGAAGCCCATTACGTTTCTTTAATTCAGTAAACCATGTGGGTTTAATTAACTTGATCTTTCCTCTTTCCAATATATGTGAACCACGGTTAACATTTTGATGTATGACTCCCATGCTTTTTTCCGACTTCATTGTATTTTTTAAGCTCTATGTTATTTCCTTCAAACTTGGAGAAGTTTCCTCTTTCCAACTGAAGCAAGCCACAAAACATATCTAAAGAGGAGATCGGTCTTTCTTAGTCTCTTTGGCAGGGAAGGGGTGGGGCAGAGAATGTTCTCGCCTTCCATGGAGGATGCCTTTCTTTCTGGCCGGGAGCTGGCCTGATTTCTCCCGCCATCTTCCTGCACCCCGGCGTGGGGAGGCTCCCTTGAGAGTTACTCTTATTTTTAGCTCTGAGCACCTCTGACAGCATTTCCAGAGCCCACAGTTCCCCGCTCCCATCTCATGCCCCTCACGCAGCTGGGGCAGCTCGGGCCTCCCGGGGCGGAACCCAGAGCCCGCCGCGGCGGCGTGAGCTACCACAGGGAAGAGGAGCATCAAGGCGGACGTCTCCGAATACGAAATAGCAGCTCTCAAAATGGTAACACACCCTTCTTTTGCAGCCTGCTGCCAGATGCTGGAGGTGCTCCTGAACTTGTTGATCCTGGCCTGCAGCTCTGTTTCTTACAGTTCCACAGGGGGCTACACAGGCATCACCAGCCTGGGGGGCATTTACTACTACCAGTTCGGAGGCGCTTACAGTGGTTTCGAGGGCGCTGACGGAGAGAAAGCACAGCAGCTGGACGTCCAGTTCTACCAGCTGAAGCTGCCCACGGTCACTGCGGCGATGGCCTACAGCGGAGCCCTTATGGCCTTCTGCTGCCTCCTTGTCCTCCTGGGCGTCCTGCGGGTCCCGTGGCACTGCCCCCCATGGCTGCTGATTGAAGGCTTGTTGGACATGCTCATCGCGGGGGCCTATGTCCCCGCTCTCTACTTCTACTTCCACCAGCTCTCGGCTGCCTATGCGTCCCCGGTGTGCAGAGAGAGGGAGGCGCTGTACCAGAGCAAAGGGTACAGCGGCTTCAACTGCACTTTCCACGGGGGGGATATAGGAGCTGCGGTCTTCGCCGTCCTGAGCATCGGGCTCTTTGCTCTGGGGGCTGTGCTGGCCATCCGAGGTTACCGGCAGGTCAGGAAGCTCAAAGAGAAGCCTGCAGAGATGTTGGAGTTTTAGGCCTTTTAAGCCAACCCGCCAAATGTCAGCGGTGGAAGTTACTCCGAACCACTGTCTTTCACGGAATACTTGGCCATGGGACTTGCCTGCACTTGAAGAGGGTGGGGCCAACATCGGTGTTCTGGGGAAGCTCCAGGTTACACGGAGCAGCCTTCTCTGAGGTTGTAAGTTCTTGAGTCCTCTGCTGGTGAGCAAGTCAAAGTTATTGAAACAGACCAAAACTGGAAGTCAGGACCCATGAGGAAAAGGCACGGGCTGCAGCAAAATGCACTTTTGATTAGCTCAAGGGAGATAACCCCGTGAACCTGAAGAACCTTATCTTCCAAGTTGGTGGAAAGCACTATACACCAGAGACAACGTTCCGGCTTGAACTTTTGTAAACACAGCTGTCTCAAGCAGATGAGCCCCAAAGGTTTTCCACACTGAGGGCTTGGATCCTTCACTTCTTGATGCTCTGCAGGCAGGGTGTAGGGAAGCTGGGGAGACTCCGCCTATAAGTTGGAGGTAGGCGTGGGCCGAGCAAAGAGTAATCAGATTCATTCACTGGGCTGCAAAGAAGCTATTCTAACAAGCCCCTTCCAACGGCCTTGAAAACTCAGTAAGTGTTTTGTACCTCTTGTAAATGTACCATTGTACTGAGAATCAAACCCAACATCTGGAATTCAGGATCCATCCAGAATAAAAGAATGTAAAATCTTTTCCAACGGAAGAATGCAACTTTTGGCCAGACAGCTTCATGGGTTCTTACTGCATGTTAAAGTGTGACTTCGGGAACATTACAACATATTCTGGGTACAAGTGAATATGATCTTTGCTTTACGTAAATCCAATAAGAGTCCAAAGAAAAATTTTAACTTGGAGGTGATGCTCCTCTTTACAACACATTTTTAACAGTATACCCTTAAACACAGGCAACTTGTCATATTTAAAAGGTGAGTTCCATTTGGGTTTAGAAAGTGAAATAAATGCTTATCTATGATTAGACAATTTCTTGAAGAATACATAAGAAAGCATGAAGAGTATTGGCTTCTGGAGAGAAGGAGATTTTATTTTCCATTTTAGCATAGCTTGACTGCACGTTTCAATTTTATTTTAGAGAAATAAAAAACTTGATTTGCTCCCCTCTTTTTTCACATTTACAGGGCAAACACAGAAGTAGATGTCTAATTAAGCGGGGTATTACATGATCAGCCACAAAACCAGCCTCACCCAAAAAGACCCCATAAAAAATAACCAAAATCCCATGTCTGTGTTGGTCTCCACTTCCCTCTCTAGAGCCCTCGCTCTGCTGTCTTTCCAGAGACTTGTCCCATCCTACCATCAAAATAAACTGCTGGTTCCGGCAATCACCTCTGTTCTCTTCTGAGAGCTGTGAATCTTTCTGCGCTAACAGCAAGGTTAGAAGTACAGGAGCCTGGGGGTGCCTGGGTGGCTCAGTTGGTTAAATATCTGACTTCAGTTCACATCACCATCTCAGGGTCCTGGGATGGAGTCCCTGCTCATTGGGGGTGTCTGCCTTTCCCTCTCCCTTTGCCCCTCCTCCTGCTCGTGCTCTCTCTCAAATAAATAAACAAAATCTTTAAAAAAAAAAAAGAAGAAGAAGAAAATACATGAGCCTGTTTGATATTAATAGCTAAGCCAGGCCAGGCCTGCCTGGTCCGTGATGGTACTCAGTGGCCATATTCCTTCAGCAGACCCAACAGCACTGGACCCGGCATCAGACCATTATTCCTCTCAACTGTCCTATCCGGAGGGTGGAGGGTAGTTGACAAGATCTAGATTTATTTCATTTCAGCCCAGCAGATACATGCATGGATCACGACTGCACTGTTTTGGCCGAATCTGCCCCAGGAGGAAGCGTTCAGGTTTCTCCATCTTGTAGCACGACAGTATTCCTGTCTCCTTCAGGGGTGAGACGTTAACCTGCGCGCAGAAGGAAAACCAAGGCAGAGAAGGGTATTGGATGCAGGGGAAAAGTGCTCCCCCTGAAGTAGAGCGATGTTGGGGCCAATTCACTTGTTCTGCCCTGGGGAGCAAGTGGCCAGTTCCTTACAGTGCCTGGGTGGTGAGTGGGCAGTTCTGATCTGATGTTAATTTCAGATCTAAATTAGAGGAATGTAGCTTGTTGACTGTCAGAGCTTTTGGCTGCTGTGTCCCGCAGACGTCCCAGGAATTCATGTGGGCCTGGTAGGAGTTAGGACCACCCGGCCCAGGAGATGGTGCCTCAGTCTGTTAGAGAGACTGGTATTTCACTGCCCAGTTTTTAAATGTTATGGTACTCCCCGGCGTACTAGCGAGGCTTCCCGATTTCTGGGAAACCACACTTCTCATAATTTTTCTCATTTCTTAAATCTCTCACTAAGCCCCTTCCATTGTCTAAACGTTACTGAGTAGATCACTCTCCACTTGCATTCACATTTTATGACTTTCCGAATATTTACATGTACTTGCTCTCACCGGGGCCTCAGCCCAGCCCTGGGGGATAAGACAGGCAGGCACCACGTGCCCTTCCTTGTCAGATGAGGTGTGTGACGCTCTGGTCTGGGCAGCATCCCCTGCAGAGTGTAGGGACGGGAGCCCGGTGTTCCCACTCTAGGTTCATATGCTTCTCTCTGAGTTCTATTCTATGACCCCTGGAGCATGACAGGTGACATTCTTCCAGAAGTACACCTAAGCAGAAGGCAGGGCCTCTGTTAATGATGAATGAAAGCTGACCTTGGACGAGAAGATACTCAGTGTCCAGTCACCTCTCGTTTCCTTAAATGCATAAGAAACCCCCAAGTGAACAGCCCACGTGTTGGTCAGCTGAACAGGCCGGTCTGTCCCCACAGTGGCATTGGAGCCCACATAACGAAGTTTGTGGACGCTGTGGGAGCAGATCTGAAAACACCTCCTAGAATAGTAAATGAACAAGACTCAGAACGGCGTGTGGGGTATGCTTCCTGGTGAAAAAAAAAAAGAAAAAAGGGAAGTGGGGAATGAAATGCAGATTTGAGTCTGCTTCATATGCATGAAAGAACACTGGAAAGCTATATTAGGAAATAATGAAAGTGGGTGGGGGCAGAGAACAGGATGGTCAGGGACAGGAGTGATTTTTCCCAGTGTATTCCTTTTTATGTCATTGTTTAGTTTTTTTAAAAAAAAACTTTAAAATTTTAACTGTAGATTCAGGAAATGGTAACAGATGCGCCCTCTACCCCGTGTTCCCTGGGGCTCCTGTCTTGCGTCACCGGAACACGGTGCCAGCAGCAGGACACTGACGTTGGAGAGCTGTGGATTTCACCGGCTGTACTGCACTTGTGTCTGTGTGTGTGCACACTTCTGTGCCGTTTGGTCACACATATCTTCACATCACCACCACCACCATGATCAGCGATAGAACTCTCCCGTGCCGGACGTTGCTAGGGCTCCCCCACATCTCCCCATCTGCCAACAAGCATGGGTCTGTGCTCACTCTCCAAATTGTGTGCTTTGAGACTTACATAACAGGAATCACAGTGTATAACCTTTAACACTGGCTTTCCTCTGCTCATCGTAATTCCCTGGAGATCCGTCTGAGCGGTCGTGTGTCTCCGCAGCTCCTTCCCTTGGACCGCTGAGTGGAGTTTCCCGTGGCATGGATGCATCTGACTGCTGACCCTTCGCCTGCGGAAAGACATCTAGGTTTCTGATATGAGGCAATGACAGATAAAGCTCCTGTGAGCTTTCATGTGCACAGTTTTGTGTAGACTTTCAGTGTTTCTTTCTTTAGGATAAATGCTCCAGGAGTCTGGTCTTAGGGTCACACGGTATGTATATATATAAATATGTTTTTTTAAGAAACTTGACAAAATTTTTTCCAGAGTGGCATTTTGTTTTTTGAACATGTGAATATTAAGAAAAAAAAAACAAAAAACAAAACTGGGGTTCCTGGCTGGCTTAGTCAGTAGGGTATACAGCTCTTGATCTCAGTGTTTGTGAGTTCAAGCCCCATATGGAGCATGGAGCCTGCTTAAAAATCCATCCATACATACATACATCAGTTTAAAAAACAAAACCAAGGTTGTTAATATTGAATCAGATCGTGTCCTTAAAAGCAGGGCACCGGCGGTACTTCTCGAGTCTAACCTAGACTTTTCCGGGTGAGTGATGTCGGTGTTAAATCCCAAATCTCTCTCCTCCTAGGTGTGGTACAGATAGTGGAGGTGATACTGAATGGCATGGTTCTCATGTGTGTCGTGTCCTCCTACTTTGTCCTTGCTGGATTCACTGCCACCTTCACCAGTGGTGGCGGCTTTGGGAACAACTACTACTCACCATTCGAGGGCACCGAGCTGGAGCAGGTTCGGCAGCTGGACCAGAAGTACACAGTGCTCCGGGCACCCCTGATCTACGGGGGCGTGGCTGTTTCTCTGGGGCTGGGTGTCCTCACTATGAGTGTTTTACTCCAAGGAGCCAAAAGTCTTGAGGAACTGTCGGGGAAGTGGCTCCTCCTAGAGGCCACCTTCAGCCTCCTGGCAGCGGTGAGCTACGGTGTGGGCACCGGCATTTACCTCCACGTGGCCTTGCAGATCAATTCCACGGACACTTGCAGAGCACGAGAGAGGCTCTATGCCCGCAAGGGTCTCACCTGGATGAACTGCCAGCTGGCAGGCACGGACGGGGCGGCAGCCACCTTCGCCTGCCTCCTGGTGCTGCTGTACGGGGCCGGCGTGGTGCTGGCCCTGCAGAGCTACCGGGAGCAGAGGCTCCGCAAGGAGAGCCAAGCGCAGCGCAGCAGTCACAGCGATGCGCCCGAGTACCTGTGGTCTGAGACCCTCTCCTCTGTGGGCAGTCCACATCCCTGTTTCTCTCAAGAAAAGGTGTCTTTTCAAATGACACGTTAGACAACGGTGGTTTTCACATATTTGATTTTGCAAATGGTCCCGTCAGGACGCCTGGGTGGCTCAGTGGTTGGGCATGTGCCTTCAGCTTAGCTCATGATTCCAAGGTCCTGGGATCAAGCTCAGCAGGGAGTCCGCTCTCCCTCTGCCTCTTGCCCTGCTTGTGCTCTCTGTCTCTCTCTCTGACAAATAAATAAACAAAATCTTGGAGGAAAAAAAAAAAGTCCCACCAGTACCAGGGCAGAG